TTTTGATTAAAAATAAATCAGCACAAATTGTTTTATTCATTTTTGTTTTTTAGGTCAAAGTGTTTTATAAAACACTCCTGAGTTAAAATGTTGCTGATCAATTTGAATTTATTATTACTGATTACATTTAATTTTATTTTTCAGTATCAAATGGTCAAAAATGTTTACAGTTTAAATAAGGATTTAATTTTTTTTCAAGCAAATTGATGCAAATTAAACTTTTTCTGTTACAGACTAAAAAATAATGTTAATAAAGTTATTGTTCGTTGTAAGTTGATCTATATTCTTTTTTGTCTTCAATGTTAATAAGGACACAATGTTATGTAGAGGTGTACTTATAACAAGTTTATAGACCAATGATACTATTTACAGTGGCCATGGAGAGTTGGGGGGGTAACAGAAAATAACTGAGAAGCACTGGGTTCAATGAAGAGAACTAATGTCATCACTGTGTGGGAACATACAATAATGATGATCTCAGACTTCCCCTCTCCTCGGGCCCTGAGATCATGAGAGCTGCAGCTTTTGGTTGAACAGAACCAGGCTGAAGCTCGAGGAGGACCCTGAACTCTGACCCCCTACATGGGACAGGACACTTCACGTCCTGTTTGAACCTTAAGTTCCAAGATGGCGCCCGAGCTGGTGGCTTGCAGTTCACCTCTGTCTACTCTGTTTCTTTTTTTTGCTATTTTTATCAATTTTCTTCAATAAGATCAGCTCACTACTGGTGTATGATCGCCAGCAACTGCTCAATCTACAATTTTCCACCACTTATCTCGCCTCCTATAAACATTTTTATTGGGGTTCTGGGCCCCCACCTCCGCTGCTTGGGAACGTACCTGGGTATCTCCAGCGCGAGGCATTCGTGCCTGCACGAAAACATCGCTCTCGTCGCTGTGGGAGACGTGCTGGCCGCCTCGTGAGGCTCAAAGCTAGCCTCGCTCGTTCCTCAGCTACAGCTGTCCACCGGAATGAGGTTTCTCCACCTGGATGCTTCGCGGAGTCCTGCCTGCTGCAGAACATCGGGTCGGAGGCGTGCAGCGAGCGCGCGCCCAGCTGCGGTGTTTCCAACCGCATCCAGCAAACCGAAACCAACCCGGGTCCAACAGCTGCACCATCTGCTGCCCCATCTGATCGTACCAACGACCCTGCTGTGTCCGGCGGCTCCCGGTTTCCGGCTGTTCGTCCCGGCTGCACTTTCTCCGGCCGGAGGAGGCGAGGACCCAACGTAAACAAGCCAAAACCGCTGATCTGCGCCCCCCCCCCTCAACTTCTTCCTCAGCTGCTGACCCAACAAGGTTTGCTCTCCTCAATGTGAGGTCTTTAACAAACAAAACCTTCATCATGAACGACTTTTTCTGCACAAATAATCTGGACTTCATGTTTCTGACGGAGACTTGGCTTCCTCCTGGTGAGTCAAGTGTGTTTTCTGAACTTGTGCCTGCTGATTGTACTTTTCTTAATTGCCCGAGGTCATCTGGAAAAGGTGGAGGAGTGTTGGCTGTTTTTAAGAAAATCTGGAAGTGCAGACTGTTACAGACACCATCTTTTCAGACCTTTGAACTGCTGCATTTTGAACTGGGCCGCTCCAACCCCATGTTGATTGCGGTGCTTTATCGACCGCCCAAATCCTCCACAGGCTTCATCAGTGAACTGTCTGTCTTTCTCACTGCAATACTGTTAACATACGACCGTGTGCTGATTCTAGGGGACTTCAATGTGCACGTCTGTTGCCCTGAAAAGCCTTTGGTTCAGGACTTTTTAGATCTGATCCACACTTTAAACCTGGTGCAAAATGTTGTCGGCCCCACACACCATCAGGGTCACACTCTTGATATTGTTCTGTCTTGTGGTGTCTCTGTGCTAAATCTGGAAATTGGGGATGCTGTCATGTCTGATCACAAACCAATCTCATTTGTAATACCTCTTGCTCGTGTCTCTAAATCTCCCGCTCCACCCAGGACCTGTCGTATATTTAACCCTTCAACCGCTGCTCGTTTTTCCTCTGCCTTTATTACAGCTGCTGCTACAACACCTGAAACCTCTGCCTGTGTCGGTGCTCAGGAGCTGCTTAGTAACCACAATGTGACCTGCACTAAGATCTTGGATCTGGTGGCCCCACTAAAAGTCAGGAAACCAAGGAGAGCCCAGTACCCATGGATGAATGAGACCACCAGGGCAGCAAGACGCCTGTGCAGGAGAGCTGAGCGCAGGTGGAAAAAGGACCATCTCCAGGTTTCTTTCATTTTGCTCAAAACCTGTTTAAAAAATTACCAGAACACTGTCAAATCTGAAAAAAACAAATATTTCTCCCAACTCATCAACTCAAATAGACACAACCCCCGCGCCCTATTCACAACAGTAAAGTCCATTCTAAATGTCCCTTCGTATTCATGTATGGAGGCCTCTGTTGACACCTGCAATGACTTCACTAAATTCTTTGTTAACAAAGTGGAGTTGATCAGGGCCTCCATCCCCCGCTCCTTAGTCAACCCATCAGCTTTTGTTTCGTGTTCTGCTACTTTCTTGATCAGGGCCTCCATCCCCCGCTCCTTAGTCGACCCATCAGCTTTTGTTTCGTGTTCTGCTACTTTCAGGCAATTCAAACCAATCACACTCCCATTGTTAAACAAAGTTGCTGGTCACATGAAGCCATCAGGATCACCATTGGACCCCATCCCAGCAGCATTGTTCAAACAGGTTCTACCAGCGATTGGGCCTGCTGTTCTAACTATACTAAACAGTAGTATTGCTACAAGCGTGGTCCCAGAGGCGTTCAAACATGCAGTAGTCACACCGTTAATTAAGAAACCTGGTCTTGACCCTTCAGCCTGCTCAAATTACAGACCGATCTCAAAACTCCCCTTTCTGTCCAAAATCCTGGAAAAAGTAGTTTTTACTCAGTTAAATCAGTTTTTAACTGAGAACAAAATCTTTGAGGTCTTTCAGTCTGGTTTCAAGCAGCTCCACAGCACCGAAACAGCTTTGGTTAGGGTTTGTAATGACATTTTAACAACAAATGATTCTGGTCATTTTGTGGCTCTTGTACTCCTCGATCTTACTGCCGCTTTCGATACTGTTGACCACAGTATCCTCATCTCTCGGCTCGAACACTGGGTTGGGATTACAGGTGCTGCATTAGACTGGTTCCGCTCATACCTCTCTGACAGGAGTTTTTGTGTGAAGGTGGGTAAAAATCTATCCACTTCAATGCCTCTTTCCTGCGGTGTCCCGCTGGGCTCGATTCTCGGACCCCTTCTATTTTCACTCTATCTGCTTCCGCTGGGGTCGATCCTAAGAAAACACGGTATTCCATTCCATTGCTACGCCGATGACTGTCAGATCTACCTGCCACTGAAACCAGCCAGTGCTTGTTCAGTCCACCCTCTCCTCAAATGTCTGGACGACATTAAGACATGGATGGCTTCAAATTTTCTAAGTTTTAACGACCAGAAGACTGATGTCATTGTCTTTAGCCCTAGCTCAGCTGCCGCCTCTTATCCTGTGAACCTGGACTCCCTTCAGCCTTATCTGAAGCACTCTGTTAAAAACCTTGGAGTGGTTTTTGACTCGGATTTTAAGTTCGACAAACAGATCAGTTCGGTTCTGCAGAGAAGCTTCTTCCAACTGCGGCAGGTAGCTAAGCTCAAGCCAGTGCTGTCTAGACCCGACCTTGAGACACTAGTCCATGCATTCATCACAACCCGCCTGGACTATTGTAATTCACTGTATGCTGGGGTCAGCCAGGCCTCTATCTCACGACTACAGCTCGTCCAGAATACTGCAGCTCGGCTCTTAACCGGTACACCGAGGTATGAGCACATTACACCAGTTCTGTCCTCCCTACACTGGCTTCCTGTGAGAACTAGGATTGATTTCAAAATTCTCCTCCTGACCTATAAGTGCCTAAATGGCCTCGCAACCATCTACCTCTCTGAGCTACTGGAACCATATGTTCCCTCTCGGGCTCTGAGATCATCCGATCAGCTGCTTTTGGTTGTTCCAAAAACACGACTGAAGCTCCGAGGAGATCGGGCGTTTTCAGTCATGGGTCCCAAACTGTGGAACAACCTACCCCCCAACGTTAGGCATGCCACCTCCCTTCCTGTGTTCAAATCCCTGCTAAAAACATATCTGTTCTCTCTGGCGTTTCATACTGTGTGAGTTGATTTAGTATATCTTGTTCCATGTCTTCATTTTAATGCTGTTGTTTTAATTTTTTAAGGTATATTCTTACTGCTTTTTATTTCTCAGTGTTACCATTAGTGTTAAGCACTTTGATAACAGTCTATCTGTTTTAAATTGTGCTCTATAAATAAATATGACTTGACTGTTTTTAAATCTCTTTGAAAAACACACGTTTAACACTGTGTGATTTGTTTTAGTATTTTATTGATTTGTTCTTTGTTTTTTTTTATGCTTTTAAATAATGTTTGTTTTTTTCTTTGAATTACTGCCATTGATTTTTATTGTTAAACACTTTGGTAACAAATGCCATTTTTAAATGTGTTTTATAAGAAAATCTGACTTGACTTTAATAAACCCGACTAGAAAAGGATTCAATAACTAGAATTTGGATTTTAGGGTCTTTGCAGTTTAAAATGTTTAATGTACAATTTTTCATTATTTCTGATGAACCAACAAATCAAAAAGCTGGATTACTTCATATAACCCGCTGCAACAGATTTTAAAGTTCTACTCAAAACTGCTTGCAGGATAAGTTGTGGCTGACTCTCAGCTCTTACAGCAGATTTCAATCAGTCTATGCAAATGAGTTGAGTCCTCTTTGTGTTTGCTACAGTCACTTTCTGTGTTCATCTTGAATCAGACTGGCTCCAAACATTCAAATGTAGATGTGCATCCAAGGATTTCTTTCTGAGAGCTTCATGAAAATCTGTTTATTACAATATTTTGCTAACACAGTGACATGATTGCTTGACTTTCATGGTGGCAGGCGATAACAATGAAAGTGAATGCTTTATAAACATGGTAGTACTTACATGTGAGATGTCCAAGCAAAGTACAGGAAGCTTGTGTCCATACAGAGACAAAAAAAACTGCAGCAGCAACAGAAAGAGTCAGGATGTAAATCTCATCTGACATTAAATACATAATCCATAGTTTTGCCGTATTCTTTATGTACCTTGAGTGTGTCTGTGTAGAAGATCTTGACGGTGCAGTCCAACAAAGACACAGCCAGTAGTCTGTGGTCAGGAGAAAATCTCACACACAGAACGTCCTCCTCCAGCTGCAGAGTGCGAGTGTGCTTCACCGTCAGACGCCTGCATCACAGAAACATCACATTCTGTTTGTCAACACAACACACACCTCAGGTTTTATTTAGAGCAGACAAGACGAAATTTGGAACTCTTGTCTCGTACCATCTTTGATCTTAAACCCAAATGTCTTCAGTGAACAACAAAAACAAAGAATTTGCCTTGCTCATCCCATACTTTTGGAGGGGACTGTTGGTACCGCACTTTCTGCTCTATAAGGCGCTACTTTCTTCACACGCTTTTAACCCCGCAGCTTATCCAAAGCTGCAGCTAATTTGTTTTTTTTCTGTTTTTTGACGGGCTAATGAGCTTCCTGCCACCAAAAACATTTAATTTCATCACACCCGGGCACTCACATCGCTGCTCAATACAAGCATCGCTTGGGGGGTGGGTCCTCGTGACTCATTGAGACTACCTGTATAAATAAAGGTTAAAAAATAAATATGACAAATGAAATTACCAAACAGGTCACATTTGACCCAGTGAAAAGGGGAGGAGAGAACTCCCCTGCAGAGCGTGCGATGGGGGACGCCCCTGCAGAGCGTGTGATGGGGGACGCCCCTGCAGAGCGTGTGATGGGGGACTCCCCTGCAGAGTGTGTGGATGGG